CCTGATACCTCCACCAACCAACAGCCGCTCGTAGCCAACCAAACCCAAGCCAAACTATCTAGCCTCGTCGAGCTAGATGAAACATCCCGAGGCGTATCTCCTAAAGATACCGACCGAGGAGGGGATGGAAGTTCTGATGATGCTACTATAGGTACATCTTGTAAGTCAGGCCATCAGTTAGAACCTCGTTCGAAGCTGATGACAACGGGAAATCCTAGTGACCCAGGTAACAGGTCTCCGTCACTACCAAATCAACCAGCTCCTACCACTACGTCATCAGACGCAATGCACGATCAACTTGAGGACATCATCATTTATGACAAATGGCCCAGACAGTGGACGGAGATGGATCAGATAATGCAAGATGAAGAACAACAAGACATGCAAAGGAGCTGGCTCTTACGGGAACTGATAAACAAATGTGCGGAGGATATAATCAGGCTCGAGGATGATGAACGAAAGGAAGGGGAAAACTACAAGGAAACTAAAAAAGAACTCAAATCTGTTGTTAGACAAACGGCGGGACGACTTCCTAAGGCAGAGAAACCATGGGAAAATATACGCATCAAAGCCCCCTTCCAATAGGAAATCAGAGAGCGTATGTGGCGTAGACCGGAGAAAGTCAGACCTCTAAATGAATTAAAGCTGCGGGGGCTCACTCATCTCAAAGGAAAGCAGGCAGGAGGTCATCTTCATATGCTGATGCAGCGGTCAACTGGGCCTCAACGAGAGTTGTTAGAAAAGGATCTGAAATCCAATATTCATCCAATCCATCAAATTCTAAAGGTCAAGGCAGAGGATTATCATGGAGTGAGATTCTACTCATACAAACTTCAACGCACCGATGGAAGTGAATTCACATGTCAGGAAAACGACTGCATCATGCTCAAACTAGATGACATCTACCAAATGTTTATGGCATACAGATACCCCTCAGTCAGAAAAAGCAGAACACACAGCGAAGGCCTCGCAGCAATTAAGAGGTTCGTGCTTAGACAAGTTAGAGTCCACTCATCTCATGACCTACATATGGCTGTCGAGTGCAACATGACAAAGACAAACCTAACACAACCAAGACTGTATGGTCCAGAGCTCGAGAACTTCCCTGCATATCACATCTTCTTCACCCCACCAGCAATTACATATCTAAATCACAAGAATGAAAAACGACTGATGATGATCAGCGAAGTTGAGAAATACTGTGATGGAACACTGAAGATCATCAGAGAACAGCTGCTGAAGATGAAGAAACAGCTGGATCAAAAACTTGAGGAGGCATCGTCATACATCCTAAAGGAACATTCGGCGCTGGAAGCCATTCTAAATACCATTGACGATCGCCTGGACAAGAGAAACATGCTGAGACAATACGAGCACGCGATAAACATGAGGAAACACTACTACAAAGCTCAGAAGCAATAGCAAGATGGCACTTGATCACAAAGGGGGAGATTGTTGAAGATCATTTAATTGTGAATCAAGTTTGTCATATATCTTGTAATAGATTAGCTTTATTATATCCTTTGTATTTAATATTTGTATTTATTAAGGTATAAAGGATATGAGGCCAATGTGTCAGGACCATATCAGGCTGGAAGCCTTTACGCAAACCCTATACCTGCGCATATAAAAAGGCACTTTAGGTTTAGGTTTGCGTTAACTTTCGTACTCGTTCCAAATAGCCTTAGCGCAATATTCTTCTCTGTACGAGTTCACGGTATATCAAGGAAGGTTATCATCGATCATCTTGTGTTCATCCTTATTGTTAATCTTCTACTTGTTATACTCTTAATCTTTGTTGTAGTAGAAAACAGGGACTAACATTAGTTCCTGTTCCGATTTGCCGTTCGGGAAGTTTCTGTGTAATCAACGAATTACTTAATGCAAGTAGGCTTTTGAGCACAATATTACTCAGCTTTTATATTTTCTTTTACCTTCAACCTATTTTCCACATCCTTAATATCCAAAGCGTGTGTTGAGCTTTCGGATCTACGGGACTAAACCTCAACAGACAATTTAATTATCAATTATTAAAACATCTATAATATCACAGTTATCACCAATGACTTTATTATATTATAACATCAAAATTATTTCTCAAAAGTTGGTACATATGTTGCATGGATATGGATACGCTAATACGAGTATGACGATACGGCAACTTAAAAAATTATAGGATACGGTTACAGAGATATATTTATAAATAATAATAATATAGAGTATAATTTGCAAATATATACTCCCCCCGTTCCATTTTAGTTAGCCAACATTGAATTTCAAGTCAATGATGTAAAACTTTGGCTTATAATATATTTATGCACACAAATATTATAATATGAAAATGCTATGAAAATATTCTTTGTTAGAAATACTATCGTAAAAGTATAAAATTTATAAGTTTCGCATGAATACAATATTTAAAGGATTGATCAAAGTCTATCGTCATTTGTGATTAAAGTCAAAGTTGGATGACTAAAATGGGAGGAGGTACTACATGTGAGCATGGATGCACATAGGTTGGTACTACATGTGAGAGAACTCGTAAATCCAAAGCGTCCAAAGCGAAACGAAGCCGTAAATCCATTAATGAACAATCGTCTCTTAGCAGAGTAGTAGTGAAGCAGACAAGTTGAGACTTGAGACCTGCTGCCACTCACGCCGGTAGGCGTTCGCCACTTCGACCTAAAGCTCGGAATCGACTGAAATGCCTCTGCATTTCTTTATTTCTCTTAGCAGACTGCAGTTCCCTACTGCCCTGTGCGCCTGTGCCTCGCCCGATCCCGAGTCCTGCCTCGCGCGGCTGCGCCTTACGGCCCCCTGCCTGCTCGCTGAGTCGCTGGTCTTCCGATTTTCAGGTATGTATTTTTCTTTAAGTTACATTTTTGTTATATTATATTTAGTTCAGCTTTATGCCATTATTTCTATAATTTGAGGGGTTTTGTGGTTGTGAGAATTCAGAAATATTGCTCCCTTGATTTTTAGAATTTACTTGTTGAAACCGGGTACACAACCCCGTCCCCACTCCGACGGATGCAACCATTTGATGAGGAAACCACTGATACAGAAAAAACCAGGGCTTCGGCTCATTCACGAGCCCATCGGAAAGTTCACCGAAGGACTCACACAGCTAGGGACAGGCAACACACTCCCAATGACCGCACCCCGACCGGGTCCCGAGCTAGAGGAACTACGCCAGTTGGGCATCATTTCCAGTATGAAGAACGTGATGGCACCAGACTCATACGGAGACATCGGAATCAGAGAACACCCCCACCGGAAGGGAATCGAGATTTTGTTGATCTAAAACTCCACCACCACCTCTCCTAACGGCCGAGGAGGAAGAAATGGCCGAAATGAGGAGGCAGATGACTGAAATGAGAGATCAGATGAACATGGCACCCCTACAACCCACCCTGGTGCGGGCCGGGATCACTCCCCCTTCACCCGGGAAATAATGAATGCTGAAATCCAGAGGGATGCCAAACCACCAACCGGTGAGACATATGATGGGGCAGGAGATCCCCACGTGCAATCGAGAAGTTACCAAGGAGGGCTCATGCTGTTGGGAGCAACAAAGGCAGCCATTTGCCGACTATTCTTCAGCATGCTCAGGGGGCCCATCGAGGAGTGGTTTGGGACCCTGCAGCCCAGATCGATCGGCAGCTTTGCCGAATTATCATCCTTATTCTTGGCACAATTTGCTTCCAGTGCCACCCCAAAGCGACACTTCAGTTACCTGACTAGTGTTAAGCAGGGACCAAGGTAATCCATCAACCAGTTTCTGAAAAGATGGAGGGACGAAACCCTAAAGGTTGGAAGCAAGACGGAGGATATGGCAATCACCCTGTTTATTGATGCCCTCTGGACCAGAGAACTGTACAAGGACTTGAAGAAGAATCCAGGCACGACATATGCCGAAGTATTGGATAGGGCCCAGAAACATGCAACACTTGAGGAAGAGATCATGATTAGGGATAAGGTGGCTACACTCTCTGCACCAACAAAATTGGCCGATCGGCTGGGTCCTATCCCAGCAGCCGCACCCCCTCCGAAGCCAGGGCGCTTCACCCATCTTATCCTTTCCATTGCGACCGTTTTCCAGCACGAAAAGGACAACATTCCCCTCCAACTGATACCAAATCTTTTATGGGATCAGATGAAAATGCCTTCTATAAGTACCATAAACGGAAGGGTCACCCCACCCATTTCTGCCTAGCATTACAGATTGCCATTCAAGAATTGATCTAGCGGGGTCACCTAGATAAGTATGTGAATAAAGACCCGAACGTTGTAGGCCCCTCGAAGCAGTTCAAGAAACCCAATAGTTGGAGACGGGATGATCAGCGAGACGCTGAGCCCAGAAATGATGCGTACATCCCTCCAGGGATGAAGCGGAGGGTTCGGGGAACCCGGAAAAAAGCCAAGGATGGAAGTAAAACTGATTTATGGAGGAGAAGAGATAGGAGATACGAAGTCTAAACGGAAACGTTTCGAACAAAGTCTGTTGGTGGCATCTATCTCCACCCCCACAGAAGAAGAGCAGGATTGAACCCATCACGTTCGGACCTGCCGACCTGCCTACATCACCAAGTCCGCACAAGGGACGCACTTGTGGTGAGTATGTGTATAGATGATGCTCTCGTTCGTCGGGTGATGGTGGACACATGGAGCAGTGTGAACGTCCTGTACTTACGGACGTTCGAGACCATGAATCTGAGGAAGGATTAGTTGAAACCCCTGAAAACACCTTTGGCGGCATTCACGGGGAACTGCATTTAGGGGTGGGTTCGTAGAACCGAAAACCGAAAACCGAAATCAAATCAAACCGCGACCAAATAAACCGAATCAATGAAAAAACGGAAACCGAACATAAAAAATGTACCGAACTGAACATGTTTGATTTCGAATCGAATCGAAACCGAAAAACCAAAAATACCGAAATATTTATAAATATAAAAAAATCATTTATTTTATATGGAGTATATGGCCTAATGGCCGGTCATGTGTTCAGCGCTCAAAGTCCGAAAGGGTAAGAGGTTTTTTACCAGTCCAGTAGTACTCCATAATTTTTAACCTAAAACCTAAGAGGCTTAGCTGTCTAAGACATGGTAGATCGATTCAAGATGTGAAGCAGACATGAACTATTGATTCTATTCTCTAGAATTTACAGCAGGTCTCTAGCTCAACTCGTCCAATCGGTATTTTACTAATTTTAATTCTTTTTTACTTCTCGATGTAAAATTGAAGATGGGAATGAGAGAAACTTGCAGTTAGAAGGTTGGATAATAGCGAGCCGCCGTTGCTCTCCAAGAAAAGTAGGACTCCACTCAGCGACCTTAGGCGATTGGGTCCGTGCGTGACCGTCGGGATTGCATTTTGTTGTCAAACGGAAGGGTAGAGGAAAATGGACGAAGAGGATTTGCCAAGGGATGCCAAGGTGGTGAAGACCCTGCTGAAATCAATGGGTGTTGATGAGTATGAACCTCGTGTGGTGCACCAGTTCCTGGAGCTTATGTATAGGCACTCGGTTGACGTTCTGACAGATGCACAGGTGTACTCGGAGCATGCCGCCAAGGCTGTGATTGACTCTGACGATATCAAGCTTGCTATTCAATCTAAAGTCAATTTTAGCTTCTCACCTCCTCCTCCCCGAGAGGTGAATTGTTCACTACTTCTAAGCTATGTTTAATCTCCCTCTGTCCCAAAAAAGGAATCCTGTTTCAACAAAAGAAGCTAAATTTCATTGAGTTTAATATATCTTTTGCTAGAAAGGTGTTACAAACAAGCAATTGTAAATTTTAGTTGAATAAACTAATAAGAATATAAGTTGGATCGATAGTTTACCGTAGTTGTACACTTGTTCCTGACCTATACTTAAAAGTTGTACATTTATGAAACCACTCTTTTGGGACTAGGTATAAATGTTGGATGGGTATTTGTATATATAATATGCTCATCTATCTTGTTTCTGAAGAAGTTGCTTGTACATATAATGTTTATGTTGGAGTGTTAGTAACTTTTTATATAATGTATGGCATAACATTTTAATGATGTATAGCTTTTAAAGTAATTGATTTAATGTTTTGGCCATAAAAATCAGATGATGTTTTTTTTGGAGTATGGTTAATCTAGATGATAACAACACCAATGCTGGTGTTCAGGAAAGTATGATGACATGTGAGACATATTTGTATTATTATCAATTGAGGATGATTTTTTTACTTGGTACTTGCATTTAATTTTTTTATACAATATCCATTGGTTCGGGTGAAAAATATACTCTTTTGCTTTATTCCCTCCATACCATAAAGGATGCTTTACTAATGTATCACTTTTATTTTTGGCAAGGCACAACTGGTATATCCCACACATGACTTATTTTTATAAAGCATTTTTGATAGTTTTAACAATATTCTCATAGATTTGAGAAAATATTCATTAGATGAAATAAAATTCTCTGTTATGGAGGAGCCAAAGACTTTTTAAAAAAGGGAATCTTATCTTATTTGGGACTAGGAAGTTACAAATGAATGAGATAACAATGGACACAGGGAAGAAAAGGACAGTGCCTTCAGATATGATATGCAATGTTATTGTTTGAAGTCTTTGTTTAGGGTGCATATGTTATGTGTTAAAAGACTTGTGCTTGCCAAGCAGGTCCTGTTAGAGTTGGCTCGAAGCAGGAACAAGATCCCTCTGCCAAAATCAATTTCAAGAAATGCAATCCCGCTCCCTCCTGAACAAGATACTCTCATCAGCCCCAACTACCAACTTGCTATCCCTAAGAAGCGAACCTCTCATCCGGTGGAAGAAACCGAGGACGGTGATGAAGGTTCTGATCCTAACCCCACACCTAACCAAAACCCTAATCTCTCCCAAGACCGGACAGATGTTTCGCAAGAGACTTCTCAGAGAGTATCTTTCCCTCTTGGAGTTAAACGCCAAAGATGACATGCTATAGTTTACTCTGAACAAGTTTGATCTTATGTATTGTTATCATGTTTATTTACTGTCAAAACACAGATTTATTTTCATGCTCTTTCTCTAATACAAATGTCTCTGAACATGTGTAAACAGTGAAACACAGGTTCTTAATATGGTCTCATGTCTGCTTATGTATATCCACTTGTGCTATATTTGTTAGCTGTGTAGTGACTCATTTATACATGGTGGCAATTTAACATGCTCTTCGCTTATGCAATTCTAAATTGTTAGATTTGGTTGAGGCGAGACAGTGAGAAGAGAGGGAAATATGTTAGAAAGAATTAGAGTGAAAAAGATATGGTGTAATAATGATGTTTGAGAGTACATGAGAAATTTGGTTGAGCAAAAAAACATTAGATCTCACTATCTCAGCATAAGTCATTAGATTTGGCATGTTTTTTTGTATGAAGACGTAAAGTAAAGAAAAGTGTATCTCTTATTCTATCAACACAGTCAATTGTATAATCCTGAAGAAAAGAATGTAGTGATAAATGAAAGTATGTGTAGTAATTCTTTCATTCGTCACTATATTGTAGGATAATTAGGAATCACAATTATAAACAATGCAAGACTTTTTATGTGTAGTTAGATATTTGTTTACATATTTTCAAACATTTTTGTGCAACATGTATATGAGAACATATCTAAAAAAACTACACAAACAAATAGGATTATTTGTGTACATTTTTTGAAACATTTTTGTCTGACATGTATATGAGAACATTTCTTAAAAGTAGAGCTACACTGGACCATGTACTCTATTTCAGCTTGCTTGTGCTCAATGGATGCTTAATAGGGTGGATATAAATGTGGAGCTAACTATTAATTAGTAAGAGATCTATAATGCTCCACTTTCAACATTGAAAAATAATTGACACATGGGAAAAAAATGCCCTTCTACTTTGAATATCTAGTCTAATTCCACTTCACCCACCCTGCTACCTACGAGGCAGTAACCTGTCAAATGGTGTAAATTATGGATAATATTCATTGTATTTACAGTATGGATAGTATAGTCTTTCATGAAATAAAAATATGTGCTGAAATTCTAATGAATTAAATTTCTTGATTGGTGTAACACAGGTAAGTTATTTTTTGAGAGGAGTATGTTAAATTCTTAATTGCAAAAAAAAAAAAGATCAAACCTTAAATGAGGCGTTTGCTTGTGGTAAAATGGTAAAATAATGCGTACAAGATACCTTAGAAGTTAGAACTTGGAAGGGTGCCGACAAACACCAATAATATAAATAGAGTTTTTTGCTCTAAATAGGATTAAATTGTTCATGAAATTCCTAAACAGGAGTGTGTATAATTTTATTCCTTAAATGGGACTTGAGTACCCATTTACCCCTATTTTATTTTTTTTCCCTGACACACGGTCGATTGCTTCCCTTCTCCCTTGCGCATTGGCAGATCAACTCTTCTTCTTTTCTTTTTAAATTAGACTACGCACCAGCTATTTCTCCAATATGTTTTTTAAATTAGACTCTGTGCACAACTATCTTCTCTCCAATATGCTTGATGGATAGTGTACCCGGGGTAGCTTATCCGAGGGGTTATTGCAGGGAATAGCTAGAGAGAAGTCAGAACAAGTAAGTAAGAGAGAGAATGTATTAGATGTGTGATCAGCGTATTTTGCTTCTCGGTTACAAATGGGGAAATGAGGTGCTATTTATAATAGCAATACATGCTAGATAGGGACACGTGTCAAGCATCCATTGGCCGAGGGGTCACCTCAACTGGTTGGCGCTGGCAATCGCATGTGGCCGCATTTAATGCGGCTGTTGGATGTGACGTCGTACTTGATACGGTGATCCAGGCGCATGTGGAGCGGATATTATGTCGGGAAAGGTGCCCTCGGCTGCAGGTGTTTAGTCGAGGGCTCTGAGTGCCGGGGACCCCCTTGTGCCGAAGGCTCTGGGTGCCGAGGGCTACTGATTTTCGCCATTTTCTCCCAGTAACTTTGTTTTCTTGATTTGGCCATCCTGTGAGAACTGGAGCCTTCGGCCAGGGGGGCGAAGGCACCCCTAGTGTGCCATGTGGGTTGCTTAGTATTTGGGGCGCCGCGATTTGGGCCTGCTGTGCTTCCTGGGCCTATTGAGCCTCCATTAGAATAGTAGGAGTCTATGGGTCGGGGGTTCCTGGGCCATATACTTCATTAGGAGTCCCTCACTCCTTTTGCCGAAAGGTACTTGAGGGAAAAGGAGTAATCTGTGTTTGACCTTTTGGTGTTGTTCCGTTGTAGTTTGTGGAGTTTGTGAGTAGTTTGTTGTGTGCATGTTTCAGCCGGGGGCAATCCCTCAGTTACCCACATTACGGGACTTGAGGGATCATGCTCGTTTGTTGTGGGAGTTTTTGACATTTTTTGTATTTAGAGAGATTTTCCTGGAGGGGTCCTCCAGTCCCCCACTCCTTGAGGCACTTGAAAAGTGGTGAAAAGGAGTAGAGTAGTGCCTGCCGAGGAATGATGCTTTTCGTTTCATTTTGGGGGGATGCCTCGTTAAAAACCTCATTGGAAAAAACCCTGTGGGAAAAAATTCCAATGAGGGAAAAAGAGTGCACTGAATTCCCCCAATGATGAGTCGAAAAGGTAAAACCCTGGCCTGAAATGAGTGGCCATTTTTGTGCCGAAGGCTATCTCTGTCTGAAGGCGCGTGTAATACCCGAGATTAATTTAAGAGGATTAATAGTACTACTCATACCAACAGAGGTGCATCTCCTTTTAAGGGAGCTCATCACCCAAGAACTCCAAAGTTAAGCGTGCTTGCACGGGAGTAGTCTTGGGATGGGTGACCCCCTGGGAAGTTTCTCAGGGCGCGCATGAGTGAGGACAAAGTGCGCGGTAAAGGCTCGTGGTGGTTTGTGGGGACAGTACTAGAAGTCTATAGAGGTCAGAAGTAACTACCTCGGGGCCTACGGGGCCGGGGTGTTACAGGTGGTATCAGAGCAACCCTGCGACAGTGTGCTGACCCGTTAGATATCGGGCGGGCACTTAGCGGGGCAAGATTCTGGGGTTTTATTGAGATTGGTTTAAGGGCGCAACGAGGACGTTGCGATCCTAAGTGGGGGTGATTGTAATACCCGAGATTAATTTAAGAGGATTAATAGTACTACTCATACCAACAGAGGTGCATCTCCTTTTAAGGGAGCTCATCACCCAAGAACTCCAAAGTTAAGCGTGCTTGCACGGGAGTAGTCTTGGGATGGGTGACCCCCTGGGAAGTTTCTCAGGGCGCGCATGAGTGAGGACAAAGTGCGCGGTAAAGGCTCGTGGTGGTTTGTGGGGACAGTACTAGAGGTCTAGAGTAACTACCTCGGGTCCGTGTTGGGCCCCGGGGTGTTACAGCGCGTGTGCTGATTTCCCGAAGGGTCCCTGTTGTTATCCTGAGAGATGCCGAGGGGGGAGCCCCCAAATTATGAGAATGAGGGGGTGATGAATGTGGGTGATATTTCATGTGTTATCGAGGGGTCCCTTGCCTGTTGGTGAGTGGGGGGCACCTTTTGATGAAGGCGTGCTCCCCCGGGGGCTTCGTGGTCCTCAATGTGTTTGAGGGCCGATGGTTCCTGAGGGGTGTGCCCGTTATGAAGCCGTGGGCTTCTGAAGGAGTAAGCCCGAAGGCCCTTGTGATGTAGTATGAGGGGCATAAACCGGAAGCATCTCTGGGTAAGTGTACCCGGGGGCTCCTCTTGAAGAAGTGGAGTTAAGTAAAAAGCCCGGGGCTAGTTTCTTGGTTGATGAAGGAGTGGTCTGCTGAATATAGCCGGGAGCTCCCAGAATATAGCCGTTGTAAATATAGCCGTTGGAATACCTAACGTCAAAAATATAGTCGTTGGGGCGGGCTTCCACGTGGTGCGTGCTCGTTGGCTGCCTGTGGGCGGGCGTCACTGATTGGGCAGTTCGACGGTTCGTAATGATGGCTGTTCAACCGGAGGCCCGGTTTCCAGACCCAAGCCTGGATCCTGGTGCCTATAAATACCCCAGGACCAGAGCACTTCCCCCTTGTGCGATCATTGTGTTAGCGAAGCTCTGCCAAAATTTCTAGAGAGAGAAACTCCAGCCTTCGGTCAAACCCAGCTTCTAGAGGTGAGTTCTTGCTCCGCTTTCGGTCATTCTTGCATACTTCACTTCCCCCTCACTTCTCGGCCTTAGATTAAGTGCCCGTAGCTTAGAGCTTTTAGGACCTCCCCCTGACCCTCGGTTTAGTACCAAAATGTCCTCGCAAAGTGATTCCCAAGACATTTCGAGGGAGCCCTCAGTTGAGACGGAAACATACTCCGACGTCGAGCCTTCGAGCGAGGAGTCTTCGGCGGGTAATGATGCTGCTGTGGCCATGGAGGTGGAGAAGGACCTCAGGGTCGAGGTCGAAGCCGAAGACTTCGAGCAGGTGAACGAGGACGAAGAGCTCGCCCTTGCCGTGCAAACTGCTGAAGAGGAAGAGGAGAAGCAGAGGATGAAGGTGACGGTTGCTATCCTTCCCCCTCGCGGTGCTGGGGAAGCCAGCACCTCTCGGACCTTGAACCCGACGCCCATCAGTGTGGCTACCTGGAAAAAGAAGAAGACGAGGGCAGCTCCAAAGAAAAAACAAGCGGCCGTGGATGCCGGGCGGCCGGTAGGCATACCCGAGGGCCATTCCTTCCTGAACATCGCTGCCCTAGAGTTGAAGACGAGGGCATCCCCGGCAGAGTACCAGGCCACTCAAATCCTGGTTGGCCCTTCGGCACGTGTGGTGGAGCCGGGGGCAGATGACCTGCTGCGATACGCGCCCGAGGGGTGCTTTGCTGTTCACACCCTGTCAGTGGAGATGGGGCTTCGCTTTCCGCTCCACCCCTTTCTACTTGAATACTTGAGATTCGTGGGGTTGACCCCCTGCCAGCTAACGCCGAACAGCCACTCTTATGTGACCGGCTATCTCTCTTTGTGCCAGATCCGGGGGGTTCCACCTACCCTCGACCAGTTCTTCATGCACTTCAATTTGTGCCGAGGGGGGGGGGGCATTCGAACGCTGAGGGCTTTGCCAACCTTCAGCAAGTACCGGAGTTCAGGCTCTTCGATGATGTGCCTTCGTCCCACAAGGGTGGAAGGAGCGGTTTTGTTACATACGCTTGGAGGAGAACCCCTTTCCGGCTCCGCTCCGCAACAGCTTCTGGCGTCACCCGAAGATAGGGAGCGCGGCCCTGGAGAAGAATGGCAGAAT